AAATTTCATTAAAATTTAATAAACGATCGTCTTGTCCTTATTTTTAGTTAGCACATACACTTAAAGCTGTAAGCTAATGATAGTTATATAAGAGCAGATGCTGCTGGTGCAATAAGTTGTACGTTGTACGTCCAATGGACGCATGATCTGATTAGTCGACTATTAAAATAATCGTTTGTGGAAGCCCTAGTAGCTACTCAGAAGAGTAGCTACTGCTTTGCTGAAGAGACCCTGCCCTGTATGGTCAGTTTAAGGAACTTCATCACCAGTGTGGAAATCACGCTTCCTTTTTCAGACACATTTCAGAGCTAATAAAATATAGCAGAACGCTTTTCTAGGCAAGATGTTGGAATATTGTCAGCTGTTCTTTGCCATTGTTTAATAGCAGGTTGTACCCATTTTTTAGACTCCTTCATTTCCAGTTGTGGTCAGAAGTTTACATACACTCGTGGCATGAATGTTACAGCAATTTTAATGATTCTTTTGAACTGTTCTGTTTCCAGGGTGGAACGACTGTACAGCACACATCTTTAATGATTAAAAAAAACTGGGCAATGCAAAGGTTTGAATTGATTATATATACAGACCTTCACAATAATATCCAGTTAAATACCCAATACCAAGTTGTACCTTATCCAGGTGCTTTTGTTACCAACAAGCTAGAACTGTATGATGTTTGATGTGTTTCCTGTTAGAGCAACCAACCGTGTCCATGTTTCACAGTTTCCCAAGCGTTCTCGGGTGTGAAAGCCTCATCCTTACTCTTCTAAATGTAAAGCTGGGGATTCTTTCTCGGTCAGTATCCTCTCAGTCCATGGCAACGTAACACTCACCGTGGACAGGCTTGAGCCTTGGTGGGTTGTTCCTGAAAATCCAAACCAATTTTCTCTCATCTGAGGATCACAGTTTAGACCTTCTTCTTTGGCATAATGGTGACAACTTTAAATAACTTGTACTTACATACACTGAGAAACCTTTCTACAATTCTCCTTTTAGCTCTTCACTGAGCTCCTTGGACTTCTCCACTGTTCTGAGTACTGCTCCGTCTAATGAATGCTGTCAAACAAACACTATTTATGCTGGAGAGAAACAACCTGTTGTAGTCGATCATAATCACTAACGAGAGGTTAATAGGCCTTGGCCTTCTCGCTTATTAAAACAGTGAGAAAATGTAAATATCTGAGCTTTTCTTTATATTTTTGACCCTGTGTGGATTACAGAAAATTCTAAATTGTGCACCTTTTTTTAAAGTCATTAAAGCAGCTTTGCAATTATTCCACCCTGGAGAGAGAACAGTTCAAAGAAATCATTAAAGCCCCAAATTACCACGGCACCCATGCTCACGATGAGTTAATGCAAACCATAACTGTAAGTCTTTGAATCATTTTTACATGTAAGTAGGTCCAAATAGGAAAAGATGGCTCTGCACACACACCACAGTCAGATGTTGGACTGAAGATGGTCAGCTGGAAAATTAGAACGTATTGCCCAACTCTAATGTGAGCATGAAGGTAAATAACCAATAGCAGCACTCGGGGATG